AAGAAACAAACTGAGGGTTGCTGCAGGGGAGGTGGGTGGGTGGATGGCCAACTGGGTGATGGGTATTAGAGGGTACTTCATATAATGAACACTGGATATTATATGCAACTGATGAATCATTAAACTTTATCTCTGAAACTAAACAAAAAAAAAAAAAAAGAAAGAGAGCTGAGAAATACCCAAATACTTGGGGATTCAACAATATACTCCTAAATAATGAGTAAAAGAAGAAATCTCAAAGAGATAATTAAAGATATTTTGAGCTAAATAAAATTTAAACAAAATATGTTGTGAATGCAGCTAAAGCAGTGCCTAGAGAAAAATTCACAGTTAAATGTATATATTAGAAAATAAGAAAGATATAAATTTTTTAAAAGATTTTATTTATTTGACAGAGAGAGACACAGCGAGAGAGGGAACACAAACAGGGGAGTGGGAGAGGGAGAAACAGGCTTCCTGTTGAGCAGTGAGCCCAATATGGGGCTCGATCCCAGGACCCTAAGATCATGACCTGAGCCAAAGTTAGATGCTTAACAACTGAGCCACCCAGGCACCCTGAAAGATATAAAATTTAAAAATCACAATTTCCACCCTGGAACCTAGAAAAGGAAGAACAAATCAAATAAAAAATAAGCAGGAGAAAAGAAAGAAAAAAACCAGATTTAGACTATAACTCAGTAAAATTGAACATAGTGAATCAATAGAGAAAATCAATGAAACCAAAAGCTGGTTATAACAATATGCCTCTAGACAGGCTAAAAAAGTAAGAGCGAGAGAGGACATACATTACTGAAGTGAAAGAGGGGATGTCACTATAGGTCTATGAACATTAAAAAAAAGTAATACGAGGGACAGTCTATGCCCATAAATTCCATAACCTGGATGAAATGAAACTATTCCTTGAGAGACACAATATGCTAAAACTCACATAAGAATTAGGTGATCTGAATAGGCTGGTATCTGATAAAGAAACTGTCTCAATGATTGACAGTCTTCCAAAACAGAAAACACTCAGCCCAGACTAATTTATTGATGAACGTTACCAGACATATAAGAAAGGAAGTACATCTACTCTTTGCAATCCTTTTCAGAAGATAGAAATAGAATACTTTTTAATTTGTTCTATGAGGGCAGTGTTTCCTTAATGTCAAAACCAAAAACATTACAACAAAAGAAGACTACAAACCAATATCTGTCAGGAACACTGATGCAAAAATTCTCAAGAAAATATTAGCAAATCTAATCCAACAATGTGTAAAAAGAATTATAACCATGACTAAGCACAATTTGTTCCAGTTATATAAAACTTGCTCACCCTTTAAAGTCAATGATTGTAATCCATTACACCAACAGAGAACTTGAACCATACTATAGAACAATTGGACATAATATATTCAGAACACCTCACACAACAATTGCAGAAAATACATGTGTCTTAACTGCACATGGAACATTCTCCAGAGTAGACAAGATGCTAAGATGTAACAAACATAAAAAGATTGAAATCAGAGAAAGAATATTTTTATTCCATAATAGAATGAAACTAGAAATCAATAGAGGAAAAACTGGAAAATCCACAAATATGTAGAAATTAAACAAAACTATTAATGGGTCAAGAAAGAAATCACAAGAATAATTAGAAAACATTGCAAAAATAAAATGAAAACACTACATTCCAAACAGCACTTGGGAGAGGGAAATGTATAGCCACAAACCCTTACATTAAAAAAGAAAAACCTACATTTATAATTTATACAGATAACAACATGCTCAATGGTAAAAAATGAAAGTTTTTCATCTAAGATCAGGACCAAGATTCCCAGTTTCATTATTTCTATTCAACATAATTTTGGAAGTTTTGGCCAGATCAGTTAAAAATGAGAAAGAAGGGATGCCTGGGTTAGCTCAGTTGGTTAAGCATCTGATTTTTTTTATCTCAGCTCAGGTCTTGATCCTAGGGCCCTGAGTTCAAGACCTGCAAAGAGCCTACTTAAAAAAAAGAAAGAAAGAAAGAAAGAAAGAAAGAAAGAAAGAAAGAAAGAAAGAGAAAGAAAGAAAGAAAAGGCATCCAAATTGGAAAGGAAAATGTAAAATTATCTTTGTTCTCAGATCACATGATCTAATATGTAGAAACCTTGAACATTCTACCGAAATATGAAGTTTAGAAATAATAAACAAATTCAATAAAAATTTAGGATACAAAATTCAGTTGTATTTTTATCCACTAACAATGAACATTCTAAAAAGGAAATTTAAAAAATAATCCAATTAATGGAAAATAAAATACCCAAATAGTATGGTAAAGCAGATGGCAATTTGACAGTTTGGAAATAGGATAAAAAAAAAATAAATCATTAGGAATAAGCTTAACCAAGGAAGTGAAAGATTTGTACACTGAAATCTGTAAAACTTTGCTGAAAGAATTAAAAAAGAAACCAATTAAACAGGAAGACATCCCAGGTCATGGATTAGAAGACTTGATATTGTTAAGGTGTCTGTACTAGCCCTCTCCGAGGAAGATCTACAAATGGCCAATTAACACGCAAGAAGATGCTCAACATCTCTAATCAAAACCACAATGAGACAACTTCACACCTATTACAATGGTTATTAATCAAAAGAAGAAAGGGAAAGAGAAGGGGAGAGCAGAGGGGAGAGGAGAGAAAGAACAAATATAGTCCAATGATTATGGAAAAAGAATGAGGAATATCATTCACAGAAAAATGATGTTTATATGTTAGACAGCAAAGAGATACATGAAATTTAGTAAGTGTGGTAAAGTAGGTGGTAATCATAATTTATATAGGATGCCTTGTAAATGTTACAGAACAAAAACTACTTTAAACCATGTAAGTAAGTCTTGCATGTGTAGATAGAAGCAACAATAAATAAGGCAAGATAAGCTCTTAAGAACAATGATGACAATTTAATAACTTGGGAAATCAGGAACTTTCTTTTTCTACACAAAGATAAGCATGTGTGAAGAAGAAGCCTATGCATCAGAAATATCTTGTCCTGATTTTAGAGAAGAGTGATATCTGAAAAGACCACATACAAATTTACAATCATTTGAATATACTCAATATTTATTGTGTGTATATTCTGCGCATGTATATGGGTATATATTTTGATGGTAGGGTCTGTCTCTGCCTTTTTGTGTGTTTGTCTTTCATCTGCTTCTTTTCCATTCCCTCCTTCCTGGAGAACAAATAATGTCAGCTCCTTTCCAAGGAGACTTTGAGATCATGGTTCTAAAACCCAAGGCCATAGGGAGCTAAAGGCTTGGGTTTATTTTCAGAGCTGTCCCTCAGGAGACAAAAGGCCAGAAGTTTCAAAATCTATTCTCTAAGGTGGGCATAATAGGGACTCCGGTTCCCATTCCAGCTGGAGATAGGTTATATGTTGACCAAGGAATCTAAGTGAGCCTTAACCCAAATCTCTTTGCTCAGAGGTAAGGCTGGGGTGTGTGTGTGTGGGGGGGGGTGGCTTCAATTAATTTTTGTAAGGGAATATTGTGCATCCACTAGGACTCTGCTCTGTAGGCTACTGACTAAGAGTGAGGTCTTTGATGACAACTTCTACTCAGTAATAGGAAACATAGAGATTTTTCTAGTATTTAGTAATTTCTATTCTCTCTGACAACTGCAGGATAGTAATGATAATGGCTTTTCATGGCAGTAGAAAAATCCAAATTAGGATAGGACCATAGGTGAAAGTAGGCTCAAAAAAGCAAACAACAAAGGAGGCAGCAGGGAACTAAGAGTCTAAGAGGGCCTCCTGATTCTTACTACTTTCAGAGCACCTCAATTAGCCAGTTGGTCAGTATGCCTAAAGATCTTCAAGAAGATACATTTATCACAATTTTTAAAAATTTTTTCCAATTAACCTAAATTCAGAGAGGGACTGAACTTTTTACCATTCTTTCTCTCATTTCCTCTTTCCTATTTTCCACCTAGCTTCCCATGTTTCTTCCCTTTTTCCTTCCCTCATGCCTACTGCTTCCCTAAAATTTTCTCCTCTTTCCTTGTTTCATCTAATTTTCTCCATTAAACATGAATTATCAGAGATGGGGTAAAATCCTCTAGGTATTTGTTCAGAGCAAGGTTAAAACCTTATTATTTATTCATGACCCGGGAGAGATTAGTCTATGATCAGTTCTTCCCTCAAACACCTTTATTTCAACTTACCTGACAACTATTTCCTTTAGATGTTCCGCTTGTGTAGAACCAGGTAAAATCCTTTATTGCCTTCTGTTCAAGTTCTCTTTGATGCCTTATGCTTCACTATGATCTAAGCAACAAAGGGATTCACATTGTCCTAGTAAGAAATATTTGGGGTCTAAAATTGTTCTTGTTGAATGCCTGTGCCTGTCTGTTGAAGCTTTATTTAATAGTGTTTATCTACAAGTGTTTACGGAATGCTTTAGTGAGGAAGACCTGTTGGTTTGGAAGGTGACATTTTAAATTTGAATGTATGAAAATTAGGATTAAATAAAACACACTGAAGGCATTTGGTATGTAAGGTATCATTATATGTGTATAGCTTTTATATCTGTGTTTTTCTAGGTCATTGTGGCCGTGTATATGTAGCTACACATTTTTGTCTTTGCTTTTATTATGTTGGTCCTCAACATCCTCAATTTAGGAAGTTGTTACATTATGTGTTAATCCAGATACCACTCTTCACTCATGAAAAAAGTACCAGGTTGTAGAATATTTTGGATCGGAACTGCATAAGATGTTATATTATCTGTAAGCATTGACTGTGCTAGTAGTCATCACAAATGATATGTCCTTTGAATTCAATTGTGTCCAGTAATGGGAATCTTCCTTTTGGTAAATCCAGTATAAGGAACCAGTTAGGAAACAATATCACTGTCTTCTCTTGCACTGCAATAAAACAAGAACTAATTTGAAATAATTTGAAACTATTTTTGTGCTTTATTTTTCTTCTAGGAATGGACATACATATCTTCTTCTCCTATTCTAGCCAAATCCAGAATGCCCCATCAAAATATAACCATCTTCCATCCATCCACCTTTTTTCTTTTAGGCATCCCAGGGCTTGAGACTGCCCATGCCTGGATTTCATTGCCATTCTGTTGTATTTACTTTATGGCTCTTATTGGCAATGTCACAATCTTGACAGTCATATGGACAGAAAGAACCCTCCGGAATCCAATGTTCTTCTTTCTTGCCATTCTATCAGCCATAGACCTGGCCCTCTCTACAACCTCAGTGCCACGAATGTTGGGTATCTTTTGGTTTAATGCTCATGAAATTGGCTTTGGAACTTGTGTGGCCCAGATGTTTCTCATACACACCTTCACTGGAATGGAATCTGCTGTTCTGCTGGCTATGGCCTTTGACCGCTATGTAGCCATCTGTGACCCCCTCCACTATACAACTATCCTGACAGTCCGAGTGTTGTCAGGAATTGGAGTAGGGGTTGCCCTGAGTGCAGTCGTGCTCACACTGCCCATGATCTACCTAATCCACCGTCTACCCTTTTGCAATGCCCGCATTATTGCCCACACCTACTGTGAGCACATGGGCATTGCCAAGTTGGCTTGTGCCAACATTCAAATCAATGCTATCTATGGTCTCTTTGTTGCTTCCTTCCTTGTTCTTGTCCTGGTACTTGTTGGAATCTCCTATGGCTACATCCTCCATGCTGTATTCCGCCTCAAATCGCAAGAGGCCCGCCACAAGACGCTGAGCACGTGCAGTTCTCATGCTGCAGTCATGTTTGTTTTCTATACACCCTCTCTTTTCTCCTTTCTCACTCACAGATTTGGCCAAAAAATACCCTCTTATGTCCACATTCTTGTTGCCAACATCTATGTGGTCCTTCCACCAGCCCTCAACCCTATCATCTATGGGGTAAGGACCAAGCAAATCAGAGAGTGTGTGAGCCAAGTATTTATTGGGAAATAAGGAACACTATACTTGGTCTTTAGGGATGAAGAGCTGCCTGTAGTCACAACATTAACGCCACCTCCATATTAATACTTGAGAAGCAGTTGCCAGTGTATTTGTCCATGTGAGAAAACAGTAATTGAAGCCTCAAACTGATATGCCATAACAAATGTTCCAAGCTTTGGGAAATAATTCCTGATTTAAGTCTGTTTTTAAGTTTTCATTGTTTTTGCTGAAGGGCTGTAGCCTCTGACTGTGGTAGTTCATTATTCTTGAGGAAAAGAGAAATCAGAAGACTTGCAGATGGTCCCCTATAATTTAAAGTTTCCAAGTTTCTCTGATTAAACTTGGTGTTCATATAATGTAACAGAATTCTGTGTGAAATGTCTACTAGTAAGTCTAAGCTTATTCCAATTATCTGTGGTAAACGTTCAGATAAATCTTAGAGTACGTAACAGTACTATAATATTCTTTCCAAGAATATTATGTCCAAATCATTTTATAAATTTATATTCAAATTCCCTAATTTTCCTTATTTTACCTCATGAATATAATCTTAGGTAAATATATCAAAAAGTTTTTAAAAATAATTAACACTTCCCTCCACACCCTCCAAAAGATGAAATAAATAAAGAGGCTTGAGAGTACAATTTTTATTCTTAACAAAGGAAAACTGATGCTATAAATTCAAATCCAGAATCATCTTATCTGTTGCAGTTATTGTAACTTTTGGCAGTCATCTGTACAGCTTCTACGTTGAGTCTTCACTCCCAGAGTTTACCAACACCACTCCATTGTGAACATAATGTGTTTCTAATAGAAATGAATGTCATATCACAGTAGATAAAAAACCTGGAAAACATTTTTTTAGGGTCATCTTTGATTAGTGCTTTGCTAGAATGTTTGGCAGAGTTTTTAGGGTAAGACTACTCTTTCTTTCCCAATGAAGGTTGGTAGGCAGAAATCAGTTTGCTTTTCTTCTTTGCTCCTATGTTAATAATGTAAGTAGATATACGGGCTATCTTGACCTGATTGTATGAGGCTGTCTCAATGTTCTGTTTAGTCTCCTAGTGTACAGAACAATATACTTTCAGGCTCCAAGTGGATAGAAACCATAGAAACAATGTAATTTACATCACTGCAGGGTTCAAGTAGTTTATCCATTAATTAAAATTCAAAAATAGGGATCAGGTATCTAATTATATGATGATACACATAAGTGTCGGGAATCTTTAACTGCCCATTTTCTTAGATTATAAAGTTTCATTGTTCCCAGTTCCTCTCAAATACTTTGACAAAGGCTTTAATATATTTTTTAATGTGTTTATAAGAGTATCTAACAGATATTCACTTCTTTGTTATGTGAATTTCACATTAAGTAAAATGAATTTATAATAATTTAAGAAAAATGAGTGTATAATAATATATGAAAATAAGGTACCTATAATATGAAGTGATTCTTTACATTATTAAGTAATATGTTTCAATTTTTCAATTTAACATTTCAATATAGTACAAACACCAAAAATATTTTCATGGATTAGAAGCATTTACACCTCCTTTCTGGTCGTTTTGCAAATTTCACCTCTACCTAAATGCAAAGATTAAAAAAAATAATAATAACACTTCCAGAAAAACTGAAGCTCTTACTCTAAAGATATGTATTGGCCTGACTGTGGAATATGTTTCTTATTTCCAGCTCCTAATTTATTTTTGTGTGCATTCAAGACAGACAAAAATGAGTCAGTAGAAAAGTACTGAAAATACAATACAATACTGTCTTATACGTAATAAACTCAGCTCTACAGATTCTATAAAACCTTACAAAAACTCATTTAGGAGGAGGGATAAAAGACCCTAGCATCTTTAGGAGTTGTACTCCTGACATAAGGCAATCTTAAACTTTTGATAACACAGAAAACAATATAAGAGTAAAATATACAGTACAGAGAGTGTAAGTAAAATTAATTTTTCAAAAATGTTGTCAGGTATCACAGACATTATATGAATCTAACCACATTATTTAAAACCTTGGCTGTGGAGTCAGAGAGAACTAGATTTCTCCTCTTTGACCAACTGTAATACATTCATAACTGAAATGGTGCCATGCTGTGCCTTTTCATTTTCTCACAACTACATGAAAGAGTTGTTAAAAACACAAGGTTCTTGACAGGTGACTACCTGGGGAAGTTGCATCATGTTAAATGAGGTATAAATGTCCCAGCTAGTGGAAAAGAATCAAAGTTTTGAAGAGAATACCTGAACTCAGCAGCACTAGGGGCTCACAATGACAGATAGCCAGAGTCTCACAGTGCTGAGAAGTGAACCTGTCCACTTCTTTTTAGGAAAAACAAACAAACAAACAAACAAACAAAAGCCTCAAAAACAACACTCCATCAGCAATGTTCAGATACATGATTACCGTTACTTTGTTATTGGTGAGAAGAATGGACCTAATTCATGAGTACATTAACACTGAAAAATACAAGGGTAATTCTAAATTTTAAAATATGTTATATGTCTATATATAACCTAATAATGGTGTACTTGTTTTCTTTTAAGTGTTAAATACATTTATAATAATCTAAGTGTATGTGAGAGGACATTTATACTATAACTTTTTATATTTATTTGGACAAATAACATTACCTCTGCAAGTCATATAAATTTCATAGTCCTACTTTACTCAATCCTTGTGTTTTGCTCAATTGCTAGTAACTGTAATAATATCTAAAACATAGTAAGCAAGCATTCAATATTTGTGAATGAAGAATATTTCTTAAATGGACTGAGTCTCTATTTCTTAGAGTAGGCATCCCTTGTCTCCTGAGGGACAGCTCTGAAAATAAACCCAAGCCTTTAGCTCCCTATGGCCTTGGGTTTTAGAACCATGATCTCAAAGTCTCCTTGGAAAGGAGCTGACATTATTTGTTCTCCAGGAAGGAGGGAATGGAAAAGAAGCAGATGAAAGACAAACACACAAAAAGGCAGAGACAGACCCTACCATCAAAATATATACCCATATACATGCGCAGAATATATACACAATAAATATTGAGTATATTCAAATGATTGTAAATTTGTATGTGGTCTTTTCAGATATCCTGGAAGCTTCAAAACATAAGTGAGGTTGATTAAATCATTGGTCATAGGTGATTAAGTCAATCTCCAGCCCTTTTCTTTCTGCAGAAACTGGGGATAGGATTAAAAGTCCCAACATAAGAGTCACAAGTTTCATGCCCTTGACAACCAGCCCCATTCTGTAGTTAATCTAGGGGTTTTCCAAAAATCTCCTCATGAACATAAACTCCACTGTGGTTAAAAGGTGTTGGGAATAACAAAGGATACTCCTTTAACTTTATTGCTTTGGAGCTATTTCAGGAACTGAGGACAAAGGACCAACTATTACAAGAAAAGATGTTCCCATTGCTCTTATCACTTAGAAAATGCCAAGAGTTTTAGTAGCCCAGTGCCAGGAAAGGGGTTGAAGACCAACTGTGTATTTCTAATTATAAATCACTACATCACACTAGGCAAGTAATATGATAGTATGATAAATAATAAGTAATATGATAAAATTATTATCATCAAGTAGGTGGAGTTAAGTATAATATTTATATTTGCCTTCTATCAACTACTGAATGATTTTTTTAAAGTTTTATTTAAATTCCAGTCTAACAGCTAACATACAAGGTAATGCTAGTTTCAGGTCTACAATACAGTTATTCAACATTTCCATATATCAACCCGTGCTCATCACAAGTGCACTCCTTAATCCCCATCACCTATTTAACCCATTTCCCCACTCATCTCCCCTCTGGTAACCATCAGTTTGTTCTCTGTAGTTAAGAGAACTTGGTTTGTCTCTCTCTTTTTTCCCCTATGATCATTCGTTTTATTTCTTAAGTTCCACATGAGTGAAATCATGGTATTTTTTTCCAATTTATTTCACTCCACTTAATAACCTCTAGTTCCATCCACATCATTGCAAATGGCAAAATTTCATTCCTTTGAATGGCTAATATTCCATTGTATATGTATATACGTATATATGTATATATGGATATACATATATATGTATATGTTCTTTATCCATTCTGAATGATTTTTAAGGAAATACTGATACAATTAATTTATAAGATATCTTTCTCTCTCAGTTTCTGTCATTTCTGGCAACTTGTACACATAAGTATTAGCAATAGTGTTCATACATTTCACTATTTCCACCACCACACACCCCTGGATACCACATAGATATATCAAAACAATTATTTTCACAACAATGTTTATGGCTTTAATCCATATTTATGACTATTGTGACTATAGTCCACTCATTAGTATTGTTGCAGAATCACTGGTAAAGAAATCACAGTGTTCTTTTATCATTTTTTTTCTTTCAAATAAGAATTATTGCACCAAAAAACTCCTTTTTATACCCCCATACAAGTATTCCATGTGACCACAAAACAGCTACTTATCCAATATTTTTTCAAGAAATTGGCATTCAGAGGAAAACAGAAGTAGAGACTTGTACTACTTCATAAAGGATGTTTTTTCCAGCGTGTACAAAGGTTCAGACCTGAGAAGATCTCTTTGTGGGAGCAACTGGGATGTCTAGGCATGGAAAGATTGGAACAAAATGTGAAATTGTTAAAATATTAGAGAGCGATTAATGAAACTGAGACCAAAGGGAGAAAAAAAGATTTTGTCAAATTGATTTGAATTCCCCAAGAAGAATTCCCCCAAGAAAGACTGTAGAACTAGGGAGGTATTAAGAGCTGGGTGTTGTACTCAAAGGAGCTTTGGGACAGTTCACTCACAGTATAGTGTAAAGTTATTAAAAAGCAAAAGTAGGGAGTTTACCGTGCAAAACAGGGTATGGCAAGCTTATCCAGAGCTCAAGGAGTCGAGTGATCTGCAGATCTTTAAACACTGGGAGAAAAAACATAATCCTGGTAATCTAGCTTCAGAGTAGGACCAAACTAGCCAGATTATGCTTTTTTTTATACACTATCCTA